CTGGGGGGGGAGAGGAGAATGCGTTAACAATGCGTGAGAGAAGAAATGACTGAATGATGTGGGCGAAAGGAGAAATGACTGAATAATGCGAGTGAAAGGAGAAATGACTGAATAATGCGAGTGAAAGGAGAAATGACTGAATAATGCGAGTGAAAGGAGAAATGACTGAATAATGCGAGTGAAAGGAGAAATGACTGAATGATGCGAGTGAAAAGAGAAATGACTGAATGATGCGAGTGAAAGGAGAAATGACTGAATAATGCGTGAAAGAAGAATAACTGAATAATGCGAGCAAAAGCAGAAATGACTGAATAATGCGTGAAAGAAGAATAACTGAATAATGCGAGAAGGAAGAAGTGGATGAATAATGCGAGAAAAAAAACCAAGTGAATAATAATGCGAGAAAGAATAAAAAGTCAAACGATTCTTAAAAAAAATAACATTATGGAAACTCCGCAATAAACTATTTTCTGTATACCCTCAGCTACAATATTCAGAATTATATACAGCCGCTTGAATGTGAGCATGCAATTTCTATTTTTTTTTTCTGACACAAATAAGAACATATAATTCGTACAACAATTAAAGCATTTCAAAGACAATTTCGAAAATAGTATCTAGTAATTTTTTATGAAACCCATCCGTAGCTATGCCTCTCTCTTGCGCTCTCTATCTGTCTCTGTCTTTGTCTCACCCCCCCCCTCCCTTTCGTCCTCTATTTTCCTATTTTGAATTATTTTTACTCCCTTCCTCCTGCTATATTCTCCCAATATCCGTTCCTGCGCACGCCACTACACTCAGGTCAAGCTATATCAGGCGTTCATGAAAAAAAAGGGATATTCGGCTCTCTGCATGCCTCTCTCTCTCGACGTTAGTTTATATGGACTGATAAATTGCGTAACCTGTTCGTTGCGGGGGAGATCCATGGGGTAAATTGCTCTAAAACCTCTCTGTTATGTGCCACCCACGTTCTTCGTTCTTTTCTTCATGTTCTCTTAGTAGTCGATTATAATTTCGTGGAATACCCTGCATTCCCGAGTGACGCCGGACTTTCTCGAAGCATCTTGCAACATAATTCCAAATTTCAAGTATCAAACACCTCCACTCTTACAGTTTAAAGATCTGCCTTCATCCATCCTCGCAGCACTAACCTTAATTTACACAGCTCACGTTATGCACACACACATTTTCACTTAAAACCTCTCTCCATCACCCCATATCACCCTCCCTTGCATCGCTCCGGCCTCGCCTTGCCCTCACCCTGCTCACCCTAACCTTCCTCTATTCCCCCTAGATTCACCCTCAAAGCGCCCTAGAAGAGTGTCAGCGGTAATAAATCAGTAATCGGTTGCATCATTAACCCAAGCACATTAGACTATTCATCACTAAGCTCTGGCTCGTCTTAAAGGCGAAATTCCGGCGGAGGGGGGGGGGGGGGGAGGGGTGATAGGAGGGAGGAGGTGGAGGGGAAGGATGGAGGGGTTGGAGGGAGGAGAGGGAGGAGAGGGGAAGATGTAGGATGAGAGGGGATGGGGAAGGGAAGATCTCTCTCTCTCTCTCTCTCTCTCTCTCCCTCTCCCTCTCCCTCTCCCTCTCCCTCCTCCCTCTCCCTCTCTCTCTCTCTCCCTCTCCCTCTCCCTCTCCCTTCCCCTCCCCCCCCCCCCCCTCTCTCTCTCTCTCTCTCTCTCTCTCTCTCTCTCCTCTCTCTCTCTCTCTCTCCTCTCTCTCTCTCTCTCTCTCTCTCACACACACACACACACATACACACACACACACAAACAAGCAAACAAACACACACACACACACACAAACACGCACGCACAATCTGCAAGAACAGAAAAAAAATATAACGTGCGAGCGGAGGACGAAGAAGCCACGCAACGTAATTGGAAATGTCGTGTAAACAGATGTAAATGGGAGAGATGTAAGGAGCTCTCGGGTTGTTCCCTTGTGCAAATTCCTCTCGCGGGGTTCCCTACTTTGCCGTACTGAATAAAACAAGCGAAAGAGAGAGAGAAAAAAGAAAGAAAGAAAAGAAAAGGGGAAATGGGAAAAGGGAAAAAGGTGAAACGTAAAAAAAAAAAATGGGAAAAAAGAGGAAAAAAAAATGTGGTGAGGTGAATGTAGGAAATTGAGGGATGGGGGGGGTGATAGATGGGGCGACGAATCAGAAGGGTAGGGAAGGGGAGGGAAGGAGACGGATGGGGAAAATTATAATGGGATGGGGGAATGGGAGAAGGACGTGGAAGTGAAGGAGGGGGTTGTGGAAGGAAAAGAAAGGAGGGAGGGAGAATAGGAGAAAAGGGAGGGTAAGGGACGGTGGAGGTGAACGAGAAAGAAGGGAGGAGATGAAAGGGATGAAAGGAGTCGGGGAGGGCAGGTGGAGGGAAGGAAAAGTGGAGGTGAAGGAGGTGGATGGGGAGGGGGGGAGGAACTCTTCTTTCAAAGCGAAATTTCGAGAGGCAAAAACGCTGGAAACTACCCGAAACTCTGTCGTAAC